CCGCCTCCTCCACCTCCGCCGGACCATCCGCCACCTCCTCCACCTCCGCCGGACCATCCACCACCGCCTCCGTGACCACCGCCTCCTCCGCCGCTGAGTTTGGTGACGATGTAAGTTTTCTTCACTTTTCCACCGCCTCCACCACCACCTCCGCCGGACCATCCGCCGCCTCCACCTCCTCCACTGGACCAACCACCACCTCCTCCACCTCCTCCACTGGACCAGCCACCTCCACCGCCTCCTCCTGACCATCCGCCGCCTCCACCGCCGTGTCCACCTCCTCCGCCACCATCTCCTTTGATTTTGACAATGTACGTTTTACCACCGCCGGAGCCGCCGCCACCTCCGGACCAGCCTCCACCGCCACCGCCTCCTCCGGACCAGCCACCACCTCCACTGCCTCCTCCGGACCAGCCACCACCGCCGCCGCCACCGCCGCAGTAGGCGGCTCCAAGAACCGCACTCAGAACCAGCTGTTCGAAAGGAAAAAATTAGAAACTAATCTCGAACACTCCAGATAAGCGAGGGCGCTGCTGAAATCTCTCGGAATTCTCTCCAAGTAGATTGCGTGTAATTCGATTCTTCTCGAGGAACACCTACCAATGCTTTCATGGTTCGTAATACTTCATCCCTAAGCAGCGAGGGATTATATATGAAGTTCGCCGCTGTGGGCAAGAGTGTTGCATGGGCAATCCTTCAACAGAAGGGCAAAGGGTCAGAAGTCCTGTCGAAAAGCTCAAACTTCTGACAATCGTAAGTGACATTTTATGGGACTGATGCTTGGCCAGACACTAGTCAACCGCCTCCTTCGAGGCTCGAACAACCTGACTTTTGACTAAAACGGTCAAAGTTACGATATCGGTCTGCGGTGACGAGGGTCAACGATCGCCCCTTGGGCTGCCAGACTGTTCCACTAACAATTGTCGCCGCCACCGCTGTTGATCGAGGGATTCTGTGTCAGGAGAATGAGAAGCAGCGGGCCAGTGATATCTATTTCGAAAGTTTTCTACTGACCAACGCACCGACCAATAGTCGTGACCGCAAACGGTAGCCAGGGATGCGCAATTTCTTTTCTGGGGTCTATATAAAGCATTGGATCGGCATCGAAATGCCTGGAAATAGATAATTCCCCCTGATCGAAGGGTAGAATTCTGGGCTCTCGTGCGGGATCTTAAGCAAAACGAATTACAATAATAATGAAATATTAATAATGAAACGACAGAGACTCACGAACTAATTGAAACACATTATTTCATCCCGCTGAAGGTTCAATCAAGTGGGTGGATCAGCGACTTAAGGAAGATGACCAAGGACAATTGAGTGGAAATCATTGAATGACCTGCGGCGAAAATCCCCTAAGCTAAGTCGGGATGAGCGAATCGTACACCGTTGATGATCAATCGCCCTGCCGCAACCGTCTGTGCTTGAATTGAAGCTCCTGATACGACTATGAGACGGATTGCTCTTGGTTTACCGATCTCGATTCGGCAAGCAGCATGAGATCGGGAGCTCTCGCCTGGTTCTGCTTGGCTACTTTGTTTGTCGAGGGAACAAAAAAAAAGTTCATTCGATTTAAAACGCGTAAAATGGCCCCCTTCAGCTTGATTTGGGCCACGTTGAAATCAAAAGTAAAGGGAAGGCCAGAGAAGTGAGGTGGGAACGCTTGGCACAATTCGTCAGTAGGCGTCAGACCAATTTTCAGCCATGTCCGAGACTGCGCGAGAACTGAACAGATGCCGGTGGTAATTTCCCTCAGAGGGTGAATGCTGGGACTCGCGGATTCTTGTTGTCATGTCAGAAGTATGGTCTGATCATGATATCTTCACAACCTAAAGTGAGAAGAAGAACAAGTACGGCGATCTTCTGCCAACATCGCTCAGGAAAATTCACAGATGTGCTGATGATGCCGCAGTAAGTAGCGACGCTGGTGGCACCGTGAACCTGGATGTCAAAACATCTTCGACTTTTCGCTCGAATAGTGCGAATCCGCGGACAGCATCGGCGCTCAGACTTCTGCGGCAGCGGGACTGTGTTGTGCCCTTTGAATCATAATTCACGACGAGCAGCAGCGCTTGTGGAATATTCTAACAAACACAGGTGTTGGGGTACAGAAAATTCATGTACACACTTTTCCCTCTAAGGACGCTTTTCAATTAGCGGGTCACGACCTCTGTGAACAGCTGAGTGATTCAATTGGCATTCAATAATTATATATCACAGTGAGAAAATCTATCTCTCCGAATGGAGCTGTACACACGACGTACGTATGTATTCATTAAACTGCATTCAGTCAGGAGACAGCTGAGTTGTCAAAGGAATCAATGGAACCTGAATCGTCTTCCCAGACATGAAACATGGACTCCAATACAGTTCGGTCTCCCGTCGACGAACCTCGTGGGACCAGAAAAGCCTCCTGTTCGATGAACTGTGTTTTCGCTGTGATGGATGTTCTCCAACATTATCTCTGTGGCAAGCCAGCCAACAAGGAGCACGGGAATATCGTGAGTTGTGCCGGAAAGTCGCTGTACTCGGTGTACGTTGTAACGAGATTTCAATGCACACTGACTGAGAGGGTTTCCCATTCCGTCCGACTTTTTCATAGTGCCTAACACTAGAGGTAGTTTATGCATGGAGGTCGGAGGAGGGGAATCTCTGGGAAACTAGGACCACAAGAAGAAAGGGAGAAATGTGGTGTTTCGAACAGCCAGCTCTGGTAATGCCGACCTGGGATCCTTGTATCGAGGAATCTGAAACTCATCGAAAAAACTCATGATGGTACTCTCTCATTGTCTGACATTCATAATACTATGCGAGCTTTTAGCATTCAACTTGTCTCCGTGAATCCTGGCTAGACGTATGCGAAGCTGAAAAGGGTTAAAATAAAACTGGCGGTCTTTCATCAAGGACGCCCCTTGGAATTGATGACAACTCGCAAACTTCCCCATTGTGCTCCGTTAGCGACTGCCAAACTTTTCAGACATCAACCCGGCGATAAATGCATCGACTTTGAAATACATGCCACCCGGGTTTCAGGAAGAAAGAGTCGGTCTGCATGTGTCTCAGACGGCGATTCGCCACCACAAATAAGCTCTCTCGTCCGTTTTCCGGATAATGGTATAGCTCCTCTGGGCTCGTGTCCGCTGAATGCACCGACGTCAGAACCAGGGCTAATGGGCGATACGAGCAGTGGTGAAGGATGGGATTATTTTCTAATTATCGTGATCGTACTACGGAGCTGATGCGATATTAATACCGAAGGCCCTGATAATACTTCCCTGATACTTCCATCAAGTATCTGATTCCGAAGATGGAAACGAAACTGTATCTCACAACAGCATCTTCTGCTATATTTCAGAGATCGCGATTAGTCTTCGAATTGCGAGCTCTGTCATGCTTTCCTCCAACGTCAGAACAATCGTATGTTCTCAATGAGGGCATCTCGAATCGGAAAGTCGATTCCTATGTCCTTCCCTCATCAGATCAGGTGCCGTCGCTAGTCGAATGTCATGTCTGATTATCGGGTCGATCACGGCTGTGCTCTAGTACGGTAAGAAGCGAATGCAGAGCAGCAGCTCGCGAATGATTCGAGGGCGAAGACGCGGCAGGGCACGCGTCCGGTATGCAATTGTGACCGAGGACGATGTTGCCTTCGAGACAAAGCTTAATTCAGCACAGCCGATCCGAAATCGAGAGAGATCCTACATTTTTTGGCGTCGGAAGCTTTCCCTAAATTGTGTCACCGCGCCCTGTCCGGGGCATGTGTTGTAGGTCCTCTCACGGGATCGAAGAAAAACACAAGCATAATTCGGTCATATGTTAGACTTTATTGGCAGCACAACCGGGTCCCCTTGAGATAATTCATCCATTAGGTTGGCGAGTATCGGGGGACCGAATCGAAGCGAGATCGGGCGAATGAAACCCATTCGTCTCAGCGGCTGAAGTGGACTGAGCTCTCGACGACAGACAGCTTCAACTCTTCACAAATTCGAAATGATTCGCTGCTATGTAAACGGCAATATTTACGCGGAGTTAATGAATATGTATGAACAAATTAATACAGAGACTCTTTGGTTTTCCGGCTTGTGAATATTCTCTTCCTTGTTCCTCCGATCTGACTTGAGCTCAGAATATAACTCCCCATGGTTACGATAAGGGAACAATCTCACAATCAGCCCCACAATTTCCCTCTTTATCTACTTTGGTGCTCGTGAAAGGAATATTCAACTTTTCTCCAAAAATCTGGTGGCAGAGACCAAGAATGGCAGAACCAAGATGTTATTCGTATGCTCCCCCAAGGATCGGGTCCTCGGAATGAAATTTGCAGAAAGTGTGGACACGGCACTCGCTCGGAAAAGCGGTTGTGGGTGCGGAACTTTGTCTTGATTCGCATTGAGTCTTAGAGTACAAGTTCTCGTGTCGGTCTCACTACGAGACGATATTTCGCAACTTCATCTCCGATAGGCCAGACAGCCTCATAGCTGATGTAATAATATTACATGTATAGTATGTATAACATATACCGCACGCGTATCATGACGCATGAAGTCTTCACGACGGATAGCCTGAGATTCTGGCGATCTGAGATCTGGCGTTCGTGATCCGGCACGGAAGTCGAAACCTAGGCTCGTCCTGTCGATTCATTCTCTTCCAGACTATCGACTATCGTGAGCTTGAAGATCCGGTTTCTCATTCATCAGCCGATCTAATCACAAGGAGAGGCCCCCCATTTGACTAGCAAAGCCCTTCAGAATGTATAATTCCCAGTCAGGATCTAATCGGATATGAATCGAGATCTTGATATTCCCAATGAACCGGACCGATCACTACTGAAAGACACGAGGACTTGTCAGTTCTGACGTTTTTGGGGGATTCACCTTCATTGCAGAGGGACCCGGAAAAGAAACTGACGCACAACGTCTTGTAGTTTGTCATACTTATGGATATCGTTATGTCCGAACCCGAAATCTTTTTCGAAGGCGAGCATCGAGACAAAAGCCCCACCGTTATCAGCACGAAAGCGGAACCAGGCTTCGTAGAGGTCCCGACCCAACTCAAACGGTACTTCTTCATCGTCAGAGGCGTGCAGGATCAATACCGGTACCTCGAGCGACACCCGCTGCAACGATCTCGTCGAGTTGTAATTGATGGTATCGTCGTCCCTCGCTGACTCGACGACGCAGGTTTTGAATGCAGGCAGAATCGTGTTCATTTCTTTGCCGAGTTCGATGCGACGCGCTACGTCTGACAGCGGCGCTTCCAAAATGATGCCCCCAAAAGGCTCGGAGATGTTCGCCGCCAGATCAACGGCGATTGGAGCTCCGAAAGAGTGACCCCAGAAGAAGATCCTCTCCAGAGGGACAACGTCCAAAACAGTATCGAGTATCGCGAGCGAGTCTTCCAGTAGGGTCTGTCGAGTTGGGAGGCCCTCTGAACTCTCCCCGAAACCTTGATAATCGAAAGTGAACACATGGGCGTTGATATTCTCAGCCAGGAAGCGCGGTATGTTCAAAAATTGTCCACGATGTCCAGGCAGACCGTGGAAGTATATGAAGACTGGTCCTTTCTTGCAGCAGTCCTTGATTTCCTCGGCACACGGCCCACCCCTCGGGGGGATGTACCACAAGCCGAGTTGAATCGTTTTCTTGTAAGTGATCGTGTAACTGGACGGACAATGCAGTCCGAAGAGCTCTGGTCGTGCATAATCGAAGTCGTCGGCGGTCGACGTGCTGAAGATGAGCCATCTGCGGAAATCCGATGAGGAACAGAACACTGCTGGGAGTATCATAGACATTGTCATGAGGATCAGCAATAAGGAGCCCAAGAAAAGGCTACAGCAGCAACACCAGCCCTTCGTCGATGGTCTCTCTGGCCTGAGAGTCTGGCACCAGCCCCGCATCTTGCAGGTAGCCACTCTCGACGCCTTCACGAATCTCGAGTGGCGTCCTAAGACTGGGGGAGGGACGACTTTATCTGCAACGGATTTACAGAAGTTTTGATTTAATATCGAGAGCTTCTCTAAGTAAGAGGGGAAGAGATCGCGATGATTCCGTCAGGGAGATCAATCCGCCGCGCAATATATGATCAATACGCTACTCTCGATGAACAGAGACGGCTCCCGGAATCTCCGCAAGGATAAGCATCGCTCAAACATATTGTCGCCGGAGAACCCTTATCGAATATCAATATAGCTACTCGGGAGTAATATTCACTCAGGAAAATAGATCACTGAATCCGGACTGACATGATTCTGCTGAGGAAAGTGTCTCTTTGGGACGCCGGCTCGGTCAGACCGAAACCTGCGTATCATTGGGTGCAAAAATGTCTGCTGCCTCCTGGGAACACGAAGGCCTAGCTCCGTAAATCTCTCTAGTGTCAAGTCCAACCGATTTACTGATCTTTGATCTTCTCCGCAGCCCTGCTTCCTCGGCGCCGGCTTCCGGACTACATGAGCGAAAATAATCACTTACCGACGAATTGATTGATGTCTAGCTCGAAAACCCGAGCTGCTTCTCCCAAGTTGTATGCGGCGAGCCATTCCTGGTATTGGGGTTTGTGGTCAGGGAAGAAGACAAATGCAGGTGCTGAATCACATAAAATCAGACCTCCTTCGCACGACAGGTGAGCACAGCATAGAGCGTGTAACATGCTAAGAGACGACCCGTTGTTCCCTGGGAATCCGAGCACTATAACCGAGTCCGGGTAGACCTTGAAGAGACGGATAACTTCTTAGAGTCCATTCCCAATAAAAACGGGGGCGGGGTAAGCCCCGCCTTCCGGAAAAGCATATGCCTGAGACTCCTACTTCCGAAAGCGATAGAGCATGTGATGCGAACAAACCTTATAATAAACAGGCAGGACCAGTGAGTACATCGATATCACCGCATCATGCTCTGTGCGCAGACCTAGCTTCCTCGCGTTGATGATTATGGTTGATCCCGATTCTTCGAAAGCAGTAGATTTGATATCTCGGAAATTCACGAGCAGGACCGAGCCCGAGACGAGACTTCGCGCTTCCTTCAAGGAATTCACTTGGATGAAACGATGCTCCTTCGGGTTGAAGCCTCGAATGAGTTTCACATCCTCTTTCGGGCCTAGTGCAGAAATGTTCGGTATTAAAAAAGAGACCTCTAACAAAAGATTATTCTCATCATAATGCTGTTCTCAAGCAGCGACAGCGGAGTACAAACCGATTAATCTGAATTTAGAGCCCGCAGTAATGATATCGGTCCTCTTCTTCAAAGTCTCGAGCTCCTCGAGGAGTTTCTCGTCTACTTCGAAGCTCGGCCATTCGTAAAGGGCGTCCAATCCAGCGCCTTCGTTGATTCTTTGACCCAAATACTGAACTCTCGATTTCACGTCCTCCACCGATTTGCAGTATCGGAGGCACGTCCAGTAGGGCTTCATGACGGTGATCACATTTGCGATGCTTTCCAATACGCTGAATTCAGAAATAAATTTGAGTACGCAGCGGAGATCTAGTCACGCAGTAATGGTGTCGAATCGTTCTCTCGCTAAAAAGCCAGTTCTCAAAGTCAGCAAGACTCATACCTCGGGTCCACGTTCCTTGACTTCCGGCGGTTGTTGATCATCCTAGGAACTGGATCATTTAGCAGAGCCCGCAGGATGAGAGCGACGCTTTCGGCCACGGCGGGTATACAGTAACCGCCTTCCATGATCATGCAGAGGGGGCCGAAACCCTGCAGCATACGCGTCATGTGCGCGAACATCGCAGGAGTGAGTCGCATTCCACCCTCGGGGTCACCCAGCGCGGCCCCGAAGCCACAAGAAACTGCGGAAAACAACATTGGGAATTATCGTGCCATGACGTTGCATTCTAGTGTCTTCAGGAGATCATCAGGGATACCTGTGACCGATTGGGAGAGATCTACTCGATGTTTCACTTCTACTTACCCAGTATGAGCTCTGGCTTGAACTCCATGGCTATTGGCATGAGCAGCTGATGGAAAATCGGCAAGTAGTCCCAGTTCTCCAGACCAACTTTGTTCAACGGGACATTGATGGTGTACCCTTTGGCCGTGTCCCTGCCGATTTCGTCGAAATTCGACGCTCGGAGCTGTGGCCAAAACGATCCGTGCTCGTAACGATGTATCGAAAAATATAAGACACGCGGATCGTTACAGAAGGTGTATTGCGTGCCGTGTCCGTGATCGATGTCCCAGTCGACGATGAGAACCCTGGGAAGGAGAGCGCACTGTCACGATCCTCGATCCGAGCAGGGATTCGGATTTCGGGACTATCGACTCTGATCACGATCGGTACTGATAAGGAGGCAGAGCCCGTACCTTGTGAGCTGGCGTACGTACACCGCGTGTCTGGCGGCGAGAGCGACGTTGTTGAAGAGGCCGAATTTGCTGAACTCCGCTTTGGACGAATGATGACCCGGAGGACGAATCAGAGCTAAACCATTCGTGAGCTTTTCTGCTATGATCTGCAAAGGTGGTAACTCTGGATAAGAAAATTATCGGAGCGGAGATATTCTGGATAAGAAAAGTGATTGGCTAGCACAGCGCAATAGTGTCTGCATATCGAAGATAAGGTGAAGCATACCCGATCCGTGAGCTCGATCGCGCACCCCGCCGCGCGCACAGCGACATCATAACTGTGCTCGTCCGTGAAAACAGCATCAAACGCGGAGCAGAATTTTTTATGATCCTCGGGGTCCGAAGTATGTTTGGTAGCCTCAAAGGCTTCTAACAGCTGCCCGGAATGCAACAAGCGGAGCTCCGTCAATGTAGCGTCGCGCGGCTGTAAAACTCGAGAAGTCGAGAAATCCGGTACACTGACTGACAACGACTGGCGCGGGCCGGGACAAATGATGGAACTTACCTCGAGAACAGTGCAACGCTCGATCAACCTATGGTTCTTGATGCTCTCAATACATTTGGTGTACCTTTCAGCGCTCTCGGGATGTTGGGGATCCCATGAGCAAGAATGTTTCGCCAGAAACTCGTCGTATATCAGACCCGTGTCACTCATCGTGCAGCTTATGGATGAACTCGGATTCCGTTTTCGATTTCGCGACCGTAGTCCGAAGACGATCGAAGCTCAGTTGTTTTCCGAGCTCGACATGATCAGCATTCGGGAAAGTGTTTCTTTGGGCTGATCGCGCGCCACTTGACACTCCTCCACTGGTCAACTCCCGTATCGTGAGACCTCCACAATCCGCTTCGGATCAGCTGATCCTCTAATAGTGTCGACGAGAGTCTCCTCGTGAGCTCAGACCCTATGCAATGAGCCTGATGGAAGAGAAATCCAGAGAAACACGTCTATTCTTCAAGCCTCTGAACGGGGCCGCCAGATATCATCAGGTGCCTTATCCGCGCTACCTATGTGGTTACTGGGTGTTGCTCTGAGTGTCGGAGTGCCTAAAGACCTCCCGGTGCTCCGAGAGCATCAGGGCGCTCGTCGGGCTCAAGCGAGTCCTCAAGCTTCGCAGTTTCTAGTGCATTTTCCAGATTCCAGTTTCCAGAGCCCTGTGTCTGAACCAGCCATCGGATTCCGCCGCACGGTGACTCACGTCGAACACGCCTATAATAGACTCGGCTCCAAGGCAGGAACGGATATAGGAGGCACTTTCCCGACTCCCGATCTCGTAGGCTCCGCTTTTGAAGTCCACGGGTGTGAGAGAAAACTGGAAACAAGATATTTCCCCGGCTTCCCCGAGGGTTCTCTTGCGAGCGGATTCGACTGTACATCGCATCGTCTGTCGCATCGAAGAAAATCATACTCGTCAGGATGACTCCTTGCAGTCGATTAGATGATCTCTTTCTATGATCGTCGGGGCATGATAACCCGGTAATATTTCGATGCGTAGCGAGGAAAGAGACAAAGGCAACGAACACTCCTCGCCCTTTATTGATCGCTTCAAAGCTCGTCAAGAAATCCCATCGTATCAACAGCGTCGCCTGTCACGGTCATTCGACTTTGGTCTCAGGAAGTGGTAGCTGATTCAGTATCGGTAGTGGACCTTAGGAACGAATTGGGGAGTTAGAGTGATCACCCTCGGTACTTCCATATATCCGCGAGCCCGGAGCGCTAACTGCATAGCATCGTACTCTTTGACTCCCTTGCATAGAAATACTCACCAAGAAACCTATTGACTTCAAACTTCAGAGAGTGACAAGCTTCCTGTATGTTGCGCAAAACGGTGGTTTTACTGTAGGTGAATTGTTCCTTCGGGTAAGAGAACTGTGCCGGTTCCCCTTCAACGAGAATTAGTCCACCTTCCCAAGAAAAGTGCTCACAACACAGTGCGTACAACATTTTCAAAGCTGGAGTGAGCTCTTGCTTGTCGACGTGCAGAATAACCCAATCAGGATAAACCTGGAATCCGAATGAGAGTCTCCAAGCATCCGGATGTGGACGAGAATCATAAGACGTAGACGGGGAGATTTCCCCGGACTCACCTTAAAAAACAGCGGCATGATCACGGAAAACATGGAAACGATCGCATCATGCTCAGTTTCCAGATAAAGCTTCTTGACATAGATGACCAGCATGTATACAGCCTCTTGGAATGTTGGCGAATAATTATCTACGAAATTCAGCAGGAAAGTCGGTCCCCTAGCGAGCTCCTTGGCCTCTGCCAAGGACTTCACTCGGACGAAGCGATGACTCTTCACACAGCTTCGGTCTCGAAAGTCCTCGAGAGCACCTGATGAGGAAGAAGAATTCTGCGGTGAATCATGTTCCTCGAGATCCTGAGAAGTTCCCTGTCCGGGGTGGATTAACTCAGTGCCTGGATTAATTTCAAATCTAAGCTTACTGGATTCAACAAAGGGTTCCCGAGCTTTAATCAAGTCGGTCCTCTCTCTCAACCGCTGGAGTGCTTCGGCAAATGCTTCTTTTTCCGCGGGAGACTGCTTCGGGTAGTAATCTTTGGTAGGGTAGGTATCAGGCTTGCTACGACCGAGGGTACCGAGATACTTTATTTGCGGCAGAGCTTCAGCGGCAGACGTTTCCTGGATGAAGCATTTCCAATGCGGTTTCAAGGCCGCGATAACGTTCTTGATCGTTTCGGTCATTCTGCAAGGGAAATGCCATCTCAAGGCCTCGAGTCCATACGCAGCGCAGCTATTTTCAGGGACGGTCGAGAGGAGTCAGAAGGGGATTCAATGTGGGTTTGAACAATTCCATGATTGGATCTTCAGGTACTCGAGAGAAAACAGGTAATTTCGGACTCACATCGGACACGGCAGATAGATCGCCTCCTCATAATTGTGCATTCTAGGGCAGGGATCATTCAACAAAGTCTTCAGTACGAGCGCGACCCCTTCCGCTAGGGCAGGAATGCAATAACCTCCCTCGAGAACGACACACAACGGTGCGTACGGCCGTAAAAGATGGGTCATATGAGCGTACATAGCAGGCGTCAAACGCATTTCACCCTCGAGGTCACCCAATGAAGCGTCGAATCCGCTCGAGACTGAAAAAACAGAAAAATTCGTTCAATACCTCCCTCTCGCTCCTTGCTCCTCTTACGGGATCATCATGAGGACTCAAGGAATTTATCGGTATGGTTTTCGAACTCTACCCAAGATGAGCTGAGGTCTGAATTCGGCAGTCATGGGAAGCAATATATGACCGAAGATGTTTAGGTAATCCCAGTTTTCCACTCCGACTTTGTTTAATGGGACGTTGACGTTGAAACCGGTTCCGCGACCCGAGCCGATGAAATCGAAATTCGATTCTCGGAGTTCTGGCCAGAAGGATCCATGCTCGTAACGATGCACCGAGAAATACAAAACTCGAGGATCGTCATAGAAGGAGAACTGGCTAGCTTGGCCGTGGTGCACATCCCAGTCGACGATTAGGACCCTGCGGCCAGATGGGAGCATCAGCATAACAGGATTAGTATCCAGACGGAAGTCACTATCAGGCGGATGAATCCAATTTTCAGGAGTCCGACTGCACGCACCTTTCCAATCCCATGTGCTCCACGGCGTACTTGGCGGCGATGGCAACATTGTTGAATAAACAATAACCGCAATGCTCTCCTTCCATCGCGTGGTGTCCGGGAGGTCGGATGATGGCCATACCGTTGTCGACGCGTCTATTGACAACCTGGAGAAAATGGGACAACTCGGTTTCTGACACTTCCGAGAAATTCTGAGAGAGATCGATTGAAAATTCCGATCAGCCTACCGATGGGGCGCATACCTCCTTCATGAGATCGATCGTGCAACCCGCTGCCGATAGCGCAAGGTCCACCGTGTGCTCGTTGGCGTAGACGGAGTCGAATTTCGAGCAGAATTGCTCCATCTTCTCGGAATCCTTGCAGCCCTTCAGCTCTCGCAAGTTGTCTATGAGCTTCTTCGAGTGTATCGCTCGCAGTTCATCATCGGTAGCGTCTCGAGGCTGGAATTCGACTCCTATCTTTAGAACGAGCGGGAAATCGTTCGCGGATATGATTTCTTGGGTACCGTCAAAGGCATCTCCCATTAATTTTCCGTCGAAAAAAATGATTCGCCATCCGAGCCCGGGGAGTTCCAAGACTTCAGAAGAGAATCTTCGCACCTGACCCGGCTGGGTCAGGCAGCGTCGGAACATATTGCCGCCGAAGTATCCAGGAGCTTACGTTGAGGACTTTGCACCTTTCCACTAGGCCGTACTCGCGGATCCGTTTCATGCTCTCGGTGAATCTGTCTGGACTCTCAGGATGTGTCGAGTCCCATGGACAGCGATGCTGATCCATGCGATCATCGAATATCAAAGCCGTTCGACTCATGGTTGAGGAGCGACAGGTATCACTGAAATTACAGAAACTTCGACTGAGAAATCAGAGAGGAGGAAACTAGTCTAGTCAGCGTCTTCTTTCCGTCAATGCACCTGTTGCGGGAAAAAGCACGAGACAAGATAAGAGATGGGCTCCATGCTGCGCTGGCGGAAACGCGGTTAAGCGATTCGCGCTAGATAGTTGTCCCTTGGGGAAGGCGGCGGCGCGGCGCTCGAGGAGATCCGTCGGTAAGCAATGACGAATATTGTATGTTGTCAGAGCAGCTACGATCGCATGGCCCCGCGGATAAGTATCTGGGGATTCGACACCAATCGGAAATCGACCACGAACGGAGCTCAGCGCTTCAAGAGACTGTGAGTTGTGTTGTAGGTCACCAACGAGTTACGAGACCGTCTCGACTGACTGAGGGCATTTAATCATCCACTCGGAGACTGAAACCAACCCCGCTCCCTACCGTACCCACAGACTACTAACATTGTCTGATCTGTAGAATCCCCAAGTCCGTTGTAACCGGAGCCCCGAGGGATTTCCTCTCATGGAGATCATCTACCCGCGATGAAGAAAAGAAAACGATACTGGCTGAACTGTTCACGCCGGAAATATGATAATTCTTTGCAACTTCATTCACTCGATGGCCGCATCCGGTACGAGCGAAATGGAACTCTCTTCACAAGAAAACGAGGGAATCGCGTTCGCCGACAACATGAGCGAGAGGAAGTCGTCTAGGCGACGCATTGTATCGCTGTTCCCGGACGTACGTCAGTGAGGGTCCTTGTTATTATTCGCGGGTAGTAAGGCTCGGCTTGAATCGGAGTGCCAGTCGCCGAATTCGAGCCAGGAGCCGCTGACTTTCGGTCAACGTTTCGCTGAGGATACCACGCACAGACCTACCGACTATCCGTCCAGTCGCTGAGACTTTCGAGAGAAGATCACTCCAAAGAATTTTCAATTGTTTGGGTTCTTTTTCAACATTTATTCATGACGTAGAGTGCTATACATCACTTGAATCGTGAGAAAGGTATAATCAACAGCAGAAATCGCACCTTTCATTCGGCGCTAATTATGTGAAAGTTCAACCTGAACTTTGAAAGTAGAAAAGAATAATTGCGATCGTTTGGGCTCACGATATTGGTGAGGATTTTCGACCATGAAGATCAGAGTTTATGTCTCCCGACCGACTAGATGCCCTTCACCGGACTCCCTCAAATTCTAAGATCACGATTCTCGATTTTTCCCCCGGAGACAAGAGGGAAAATCGTCCCATCCCGACACCATGATATCCGACAGCCGACAGCTATTCTACACATGGGCTCAATCTCTGTGAGACTAACTCCGAAAACTTATTTCTGACTATCCGTTTCACTTCTGGACGCGATGGCTCCATCAAAGAAGTCTCTGACTTTCTTGTGGAGCCCCGGATGCGTGTAGATATACTTGTGACCGTAGCCGAGTTCCGACTCGAACGTCACGAACTCTGTTGAACGCGAGCTCCCTCTGCTCGACTCAAAGCCTTTGTGAAGTCGATCGGCCAAACTGAATGGTATCACGCCGTCGTCTTTGGCGTGGAGGATCATCACCGGTAGCTTCGGATCGACGAGTTTCGATTTCTCGAAGGAGTTAAAGCTCGTCGTAGGGTCGTTTTTCAGCGAATCAACGAAGATGTCCTGGAAGTAGGGCATGAATCGATGCATGCGGGATAGCGGATGGTGTTTGACTACGTTGGCCAACTCGTCGAAAGGTGACTCGAGAACAAGAGCCGCTGGCCTCTCCTTGAGCTTGTTGAGATCCGCCAAGAGATGCGTTGCCACTCCGGTCCCAAGCGAGTGGCCCCAGACGACGACACGTTCGGCGGGAACTCGTTCACGCAACCATTTATACACTGCTAGAGCGTCGTGCACCAGACCGTCGACAGAGGGCCCTTCCTCGGAGACGCTGTCACCGTAACCTCGATAGTCGAACGCAACGACGTTGACCTTGGCCTTGGTCGTGAGGAGTTTGTAGAGCTCTACTCGATGGTTCCCGCCGCGTGAGCCGGAGTTACCGTGTAGGTACAGCACAACGGGATCTTCGCCTTGGAAGAGCGGGCCGTTCCGGTCACATTTCTCGTTGTCCGAAGGGATGTACCAAGTGCCCAACTTGATACCAGGATCCGATTCGACATAGAAATTTCGTGGACAGTGGAGACCGAATCCGTCGGGATCCGATAGGTTGAGGAAGGGCGGAATGTTGACGAATGTAAGAAAAACGACATGTTGTCGAACCCACTGGGAGTTATAGAACCAGATCGGGATCGCGAGATAGAGGATCAAGAAAGCTGCCACGATTTTGAAGAGAACAACTTGACATCCTCGCTTCACCAGGTTCTTGCGTTTTTCTTTCTTCGAGCTCCCGGAGCTGGTCGATGGGAGATCGGCTCTTGTCGATGAAGTCCCCGCACTCCTCCTTTGACGGAGCTCCATTTCGATCACACGGGATGGACTGCAACCACACAGTGGCGTTAACTCAGCTGTCGCTTCAACGAGACGAGGCAAAGCTCAAGCGATATCGTTTCGAAACAGGATATCGATGAGGATTTCGATATCACGGGAACGCAAGGAAGGGCTTGGGGCGATTGCGAGTGAGAAAAAATAAAAAATCCTTCCGTATCAAATCTCGATCTGGTTCTGTACATTTCTGACGGAGCTCTCTTTGAAGTGGGCAGTAGCCCCGACTCTCGCGGGAAGAAAGCCGTTTGGGGCCCAACTTCCCGGGTCTATCTCGCTGACTCGCGAAAACTCCAGAAGATGCAAGTGATTGTTGAAACGAAGGATGTGTACTCCCAATAATTTCATAGGTATGCTCGCGCTGTTTCCTTTATCAAAATTGCCCAAGACTTGTTGATCACCAGAGAAATAAAGGCACGTCCGGAAAATCTAAGGCAAAGCCTGCATCTCGCTCCGGGGAGTTCCTCGATGGAGCCGAGCGAGCCGAAAACGAGCGCGCCCGCGGAGACCCTCAGGTTTGTTGGTCTTTCGGCTCTATTCTTCCTCCTTCCTGAAGATGCAGCCACGGAATTGTAGCTCTCCGGGACACAACGAAAATAAACCAACCCGGGAGAATAATAATAATCGATCGATGGGCAACAGAAGCGATGCTCGACGCGGAAGCACCGATATAAACAAACTCCAGACAGAGACCAACGAGAGACTATTCGGGCCAAATGAGGAAAACTATCAGAACAGTTCGATCGTGAAATTTTCCGATTCAGATGCCACACGTCCGGTGGTGTCTACCCCGGGGAAATAATCGAGCTGGCACAGACTCGTGCTGCTGCTGCGTTCAGAGAATTCCGACACGCGTGGATAGAGAACATGAATCGGAACAAGACTGAGAGGAAACACGCCATGCGAACAGCTGAGCGCACATGCAAACATATTCCTCGTGCCGAGAGAAGCCACAGAATTGATGTCAGAACACGAAAGTAGAGCCCTTAGATGACAGTGTTGTCGGCGAGCCACCCGGTCAGCTGTGAACGCCGTGAGCAGTGTCGGCAAGTTCACGGTCGCTCTGAGGCGAGCAGTCAAGCAACAGAAAACCAACGTTTACCTCTTGTTCTTGACGTCGTCCGGATCGGGAAAATCAGCGCGAAGATCGTCGTCTCTGATCTCGAGCACGAGAAAAGTCACCAAGCGACGGAATCGTCACTGTTCCCACTACGACCGCTTCCCTGGAGCTGGTGGTGCTCTGGACGAACGCTCAGCCGAGCTACTGCGGGCCAGTCCTCGCATAGAAGCAGTGGCAGTGAGCAACAGCAACCCTCTCAGAAGTCAGTTATGCGTACAGTCTGACTGACGACCGTCACTTGGTGAGTCAGTGACGGTGGAGTTGCGTCCGAGGCGCTCTTGGAGCAGATTCGGCAGCAGCGCCCGCCCAACCTTCGGCAGTCGCAGGGAAACGGTCCTACGTCAGCAACTGGAGCGGAACTCTCCACTGCGAGAGCAAGACAACAACGGCAGCAAGGCGAAGAATAAAAACAACACTGTGTGTGTGTCGTTTCGCGCACGCTCTCTCTCGCCTCAAAGTCGCATAATGCGTTCATGCGTAGTTTGCTGTCTGCTCCCACTCCGTACGGAGGATGATGATTTAGAGCGCGGTTTCGGCGAGCTTTTGCGTATGCTAGGCTTCGGACTTCGTCCGGGCCTGTTTCTATCGACTGGCCGATAACGAGCACGGGAACCCACCGTCCGTATCCTGTGTTTCCGGATGACGTTCCCAACTTCTGAGCGGAATGTTTCTTTCTCTGGTACCGGTCTAAGGTCTAATCCATCGCCAATATAATTATTACCAATTACCGCTGATGATAGATTCGATTCCGTTTGAAATCTTGACGATCAAAGTCTTAAAGGGGGGGGGGCAGCGGGAAAGCCTACGGTTGTCTTGCTCATGATTCGAAACCACGTAATATTATCGATCGACTCGAACGAAAACAAATAGATGCCACACAACAAGATAACAAGATACATCAGAAAACTTCCCGCTACCTTCCGCGCGTCCTAAGTCATGACAGGAAGTGGGCTCAACTGTTCCACTGGATTCTCTGAGAAAACTAACTCACCTCCTTGAGCGGCGGCTCCCAAAACGAGTTGCCTCTCTTCATGGACACAACGAACTGTTCAGGAAAACCTCTCAGAAACCTGCATACCAGAAACGAGCTTCTCCGAGACACGACCGTCACACGTGTGGAAAGACTGTGCCATGCTCACTCTCCGGATGGATTCGAGAGAGTGCATCGATTGCTCTTAGAGCTCTCTCCCAAAATGGCCAAGAACCGTCCGTATCTCTGCAGGCAGACCGGCGACGAAAGTTTCTCATTGCCTTATGTGAGCCTTCGAATCTCGAAGGCTATATCAGACGGAAATCATCGACCATGGGCCAAGCTGACTGACATGAGTCTTTTCAGACAGGCTGCGAGTTTTCATAGTCAGAGTTCCCCCCGGAGACTTCATCATCCCAAAACTCTGCAGGCAGATGCAGAAGTCGCAAACTCTCTCGGCAATGACTGGAAGTATTGGAGGTCTACAGAATACGGAGAATGGCATTGAGATCAATCGCGCTGCCAATCGGGGCAGCGAACTTGGTCACATCTGAGAACAGTAGGCAGCCTGTCTAAATCGTATATGTTACCATTTATATGATCGAGAGAAAATGAGGAAAGAACAATGCGTTTGAGTGCCGAACTAGGGCGCTTTGCAGCATAGTCCGACGAATTGATCGATTATGTTAGGGAGGTCTTTGCTGTGGTGGATGTTCATGTGTCCGAAACCGTGCTTCGCATCGAAGGTTTTCAGGAATACATTCGAATCTCCCCGGTGTCTCACGAATCCATCGTAGAGAGCCTTGGCCAGAACGGCTGGAACGACCTGGTCGTCTTCAGTTGCCAGAATAAGCACGGGCATGCTGTTATCCATGTCTCTCACATAGTCGACGGAGTTGAACGCTGTCTCTGGATTTTCATTGAGTCGATCGACGAAGACTTTCTCGAAGCAAGGCAGATGCCGAACGAAAACCGTGAGGCTGTGATGGAACAAGACGTTCCCTACTTTATCGAATGGTGTCTCCAACACTAGAGCTCCGACAGTTTCGTTCTTGGTCAGCTTGGCGACGAACTTCGAAGCGATGCCCGTGCCCAGAGAATGACCCCAAACGATGATCTCATGGGGAAGTTTCTTCTCGCGTATGTGATTGTAAACCCTCGTGACGTCTTCGACCACGTGCTCCGCAGTCGGGAAACCTCCGCTGTCCCCGAAGCCCCGATAATCGAGCGTCACCACGTCGAAACCCATTCTCATGAAGAAGCGGTATTTTTCCTTCCGTGCAGTCGTGCTCCTGGACCCCGAATTCCCGTGTAGGAAGTATATCAACGGCTTTGTACTCTTGTACATAACGCAGCCGGTCTCATACGTGGCCATCTCCCAGACTCCGATTTCGTTGCCGTCGCTCATCTTGAAGTAGAGCAGCTCGGTGCAGTTCATTCCATGATCTGCCGGAGAGTCCTGGTACGCGATCCTCTGGTCGTGTACATTATTCCGGAAAATGGCCGCTCTCCGAACCGAAGGACTGTAGTAGAACACCAGAGGAAAAATCAAAAATGTGGCTACCGCGAAAGTGAGAGACAGCAGGGCGAAGAAGCGGACTGTTTTCAGTAGGCACGATGTAGGCCGAGCGGACTTCCTGAAAGTCCCCCCGGGAAGAGAATTCATTTGACTTGGATAGCCTTGCTTCCTTCCCGTCGACCTACAACCCTTCCCTGATACAGTAGTATTATCGAGTATATCTGATTTGAAAATTTTCTCGAGAACCAGCAGTCTCACCTTGTGGTCGTAGTCGAGGAGTCGGTACTCGATTTATTTCGGCGGCACAATGGCAGTTCACAAGGAAGCCCAAGTCCCATGGTGGAAATTCGCGAGTTGTCGACCACTCATGCAGCTGAGAACACCGTTGAGTCCGTCATCATTGTTTTCGTTGATTGCATACAGTCGGATTGAATATTCCAAAATTCGGAATGGCGCTCCGGGCCACGATAGACCCGGACTCGTATATCGCTGTGGATGCTCTGTGGACCAGATTTCTAGATTCTCGAGGGTGTTTTTCATCAGATGCACCCGACGCAGAGCTCGATTTTCCGCTCTTGACTGCACCGGAGACGGCAGGCAGGTGCAACAGATGGTCTTGAAATCAGTCCCTACGGATTTCCACCGAGACCGAGAAAAGAAAGTTTCGGGCGAACTAGTTTTCCGGGAACAACTACGTTGCCCCGAGATCCTCATCCAGTTAGTGATCGAGGACGACCGTCTACGTCTTGAGTAAAATACTTGTATATGGAAATTTATTTACATTCGCTTTGGACTGTGAGATAACACTCTGTAAATTTGTCTAGGTACTCATCATGATCAACAATCACTCTGGGAGTGTTTTCTTCGAAGTATCTTTAATGTAGCTCCTCGACCTGAACTTCCTGGCGAACGGCGTTCTGCGCAGAAACCTATACGTGTCCCTCCGAATCGCATATTCCATACTGGAGGCAAACGTTGTCGTGGCCGTCAAGTAGCACAACGCCGACAGAGCTGGATGGGAGACAAAATCGAATACCGGCGCTCCTAACGAACAAGCGACGAGCAGCAGCTGAATCGACGTATTGGCTTTGCTCAAGAAAGTGGGTTCGAATTTCAGTGATATGAGTGAGGGATCGAAGAACCTGCCCACAGTTTTAGGTTCTGGTAACGATTTGTACCTGAGGTATAAAGATCCGCCCATAAGACCCACGTCGCGACACACTATGAGAACAGTCAGTGGCCACGGAATGATATGAGCGTAGGTCAAGGTCAGGAAAAGCGTTCCGACGAGCAATTTGTCCGCGAGAGGATCGAGCACCGTCCCGGCCATACTCTGTTGGCTCGGCCATCGACGTGCTATCTGACCGTCCAGCAGATCAGATACAGCAGCGAATCCGAAGAGTCCGAGTGCCGGTGTATAGGCGCCGGTGTAAACCCAGTAGCCCAGGAGCGGAGTACAGACGATTCTCGTCACCGACAGCAGGTTGGGGATTGTCAATATGTTCTCTCGGTAGATATTAATTCGTTCTCTAGCGAGGTTTTTGGCCTCCCGGACTCGAGCAGTGACTTGGGCTCTCTTTCTCTGGAAGTCGGCTTTCTTCTCCTGGAAGGCTTTTTTCCGCGCCGCGATGGACGGCGGCAGGTCCTGCAAGCACCTGACATTTCTGAGCAGCGTCGAGCTCAACAGCCGCTCATGACTCAGTACGCTGCACCTTAGCAGAAGCATCTCTTCGAGCTTGGATGAAGTTGTAGAGCGGGACAAGCTCTTTCAATGTCGGCGGACACTTGACGAAGATATCGAGAGGCTCCTCATTTTCTACGAGCGCTAGGAGGCAATGGACGATTCCGAAGTCCTCGATACGCTCACAGATGACTAAATCATTGATGAGGTTCAAGGGCACGAACTGAGACGAGGTCCTGATGCCGAGGAACTTTCTCTCGATGTGAATGCCGAGAGTGTCGAGGAAAATGAAGGTTTCTTCGTAGAAAAAATTTCCCGATTTAGCTTCGAACCCGCTACTGCCGAGTAGCTGGAATTCCATGCGGCTGAAACGAGAGAGAAAATAATTTGGGGATGGAACTCCAAGGTCATGAGACTAGATCAGGTTACCGTGCACCGAATACTGGAATCGAAAATTATACGGAATGACGCTCGGGAGCGATGGAACTCGATCGATATTCCTCCCGGAAGTTCCAAGCGAACGCCTGTTCAATATAGATTTGCGCTCCCTTGCAAGGGTGAGTTTCATTTGACACGCATCAGGAATCGGGGGCGTTCCGACTCCGATCTCCAATCGCGGCAACTCCCTACTAAACTCCAAGGACTCAGGTGAATTGGGACCGATAGTGCGCGTTTCGTTTCACGTGAAAAAGCAGCTCGGGCTATCGAGTGAAGCAGGTGGAACACTCGGAGCAAGCGGGAGAAGAAGCACTCGCATCTCCAACTTGCCGTTACGTGCCTTACCGTGGAGGTCTCGAGATGATCCGCGTATGCGTATCGGGATAATTTAGGGTACTCTACAAATAACATGCGAACTCCGGCATCGCGAGACGCAGCGCGTTCGCTTATCGAACGCGGCCCTAAACGACGGAAAGTCTTCCTGCTCGTCCGCGAGTCTTTGAATGAAGAATGAAGTCGGCGTTTTCTGGAGTTATTTCAAACGAAAACGCCTTTCTAGGAAGCAAACCGGTGAGGAAAAGGAAGCCGTAAGATTTAGTTTCCACTTCAATGAGCTAGTGTTCGATGACTGTCGACTGACGACGAACGTATAGGGGCGCGGCGCAAAGCTGCAGCTATCATTGAGTTCTGGCTGTATTCGGTATTCGATGATGAGTGATTATCATTACACTCATTAATCAAAGTTCTGTTTTCGTGACATCCAGAAATCCAAATGCTCGAGCAATCGTGCCGAGCGAGAGATCAGCCTTGAACTACACTCAATCCGATCAGATTCGATCCGACTCGGAGCCTGTCAGCCGGAGATCATGGCGGGGAAGAGCGGTGGTCTGCACTCTGTTGGAGGGTATGGGGAGGAGTGGGGTTCGAGCAAGGGGCGAGGAGCGGTTGATTCTCGGCGACTTTTCGATTTTGTAAGAATACCCTGTCAGTCGAACTGACTGTTCTGGAGGCGCGTCGCTAAGCTCAAGAAGGGAAAGCGAAGCAGCTGCAATGTCATTGATTTCCGGGCTCTGCAATAATTAGTCAGATCTTTCGTCAAACGAATGCGAAGTGCGAGGAGCATTTCTTCCCCGCTAGGAGGACGACGAATATTGCGGATAGGGGTCGACGTCTGCATGACAGGAGTTTCCCGTGTTGCTGCGACACATTAGGGAGTGACAGACAACCTGAACTTTAGCAGTCAGTTCGTGTTTACAAGTATTCCGATCGAATGGCCAGGATATCATCTTGAGCTCCATCGTAATGACTCTTGCCTTACAGACAATCACCTTTCTCCAAGATGCCCTCTCCGTATAGAGGCAGCTGATTGGAGTCTCGGACGGTATCTTTACGAGAGGGATGCGCCGGACACCGTCGTGGAGCTTGATCGCGGTCTGCTCCAGAGAAGACAAGGTCGTAGGTCGCAGGTGATCGATGTGAATCTTGAAGTCGGATTTGACAGCGACGTTGCGCGGAATGGCGACCGATAGCTTGAGAAAGCTACAGCTCATGGTCTTCGCGACCATGTTTCTGGGCTATGCCATGTATGGCTACAATCGGAAGAGTGTGTCGTTGGCTCTCCCGAAACTCATGGAAGAAGGACTGCGCAAGGAACATGCAGGTTCGTGCCAAGCTCAAAACTTCGGCTGGAGGTCCACGGGGGACCTCGCTGAGTGACTGACTGAGTGAGAGCTGTAAACTGTTCCACAGGACCGGAATCTCCAGCGGAATTGCTCCTGTGGGGAGGGTTAGAATCTCGAAACGCTCTGTTTTTGTTTTCTGATTTATCTTTCGAGGCTGCTCTTATCAGCTCCGAGTCAGGTTTCCTTGGTCTCGCTGTGATGATAGGGAGTGACGGTTTGCCAGCTTCCCTCGCGCGTGGATCCCGCGGAATGGAAGTCCCTGCGCTCCATACGGAGCTTCACGCTCGTCGGCATTCCTCAGGTCGCTGCCATCCCTCCTGAGAACCTGCATCGATACTGAGATTACTCCGTATCGGAATTAAATAGATCGATAGCCCATCGCTGGTTTACAATGGATCTTCTCAATGTCACAAGAACGACCTGTCATTGTTTAGAGCGAAGCTTTCTATTCCGGCGCTCAATCAATCACCTGCTTCGGCTCGCGGAATGGTATCTCTGCATCGGCAACCCTTGACGTCGTTGCTCAACTTTTTCATAGAGGAATTATGGCTTGCCGCTGAGATCGGGTCGGAGGGAAGCAGATTCACCGATGAGCATCCATTTGCCCCAGGCATAGATTGAATTTCTGCGACGATCGCGAGCGCGTTGTGTCGAATTATCAGACTTTATTTTCGGTGGTCCATCAATTCGCCTGTTTGAATATTTACAAGTGAACCTACTGCTTATGGTACAATATCCACAAATTAAATTTAGCCAGCAAGAGACTTCTTGAGAAAAAAAACTCACTCTTCCCGAAAACTCGGACTGACCAGAGGTAAACAGAAATTCGGCTTGAGGGGACCCCTCTATTGCAAAGGTACACATAACGGATCTAGAAATCACACCCAATCTCGCACTAGATTCGGAAGCGGGCAACGATACGCTAGCGAATTTGAGTATTGGCAAAAATTCGACGTTTCCTCGATATGGCTCGCGAAAATAATATCTGTGTGACCAAAGCCGATCCAAAACAATATTCGGAAAGTCGAAACATAGCCGGAATCTTTGAAGCTGAGCATCGGAGCATAAGGTAAAAATCCCAGCCGAGCTCCGAGCTTGACTAACGATTCGATGCTTCTGGCCGGCCTCTTTGACTACGTCACCGAGCTGGAGGTCGCCTTCGCAGTTCAATGCTCGTATCGAACTCGCGATCAGAACTCCTCGTGGATATTTTTCGCGGTGTCCACCGCTGTACTCCCCAGAAAGAGCTTCGCTTTTTGGAGAACTTCTTCGAGCGACAACTTCCCATCCTTGTCGACATCTGCGGTCCCTATCAGCTCTCTCGCCTCACGCAAGGCATGAAGGGGATTCGATGGATCGTTGTAGAAAATTAGTTCTTGTAGCGTGACCTATGGAAGAATTCGCAGCTCAGACTCCGGTGTCATTCCGGAAGCTAAATGGAAGATTCGAAAATCCCGGAACTCAACGATACGGAATTCCTCGACAGACCTACCTTCCCATCCTTATCTGTGTCGATTGCTGATCTGAATTCCTGTCTCTTCTCCGAGATTTTCTTGGCGGAAACTTTCTCAGTAGAGTCAACCGCCACGAACTCGTCTTCGCTCAGAACTCCGTCGGCGTCAGTGTCAAGATCGGATATGATCTGAGTAACCATGTTCAAAAGCGATACATGGGAGTGCTCGGGATGTCGGAAAGTTAGAAACTCGTCAATATTCAAACCGCCGGGATCGGTCGCTGCCTCGAACCTGAAGAGGAATGGGGAAACTTGGATAATTCAATTATTCGAGTATCGCATGTTTTGAGGTCTTGCAAGTGCTCCCCTTAGCCATACCTACCAGGCCGCTCGGTCCAGCATGATTTGTTCTTTCAAGCGACGAGGCAAACTCTTGAGGTTCCTGATGCTCCGCTCGGCATCCTCTTTCGAGTAGCCTTGTTTGATTAAGTAGTCTTCACCGAATTCCGTCCAGGCTAGTCGGCCATTATGGTTCTTATCGATCCTCAAAAAAGTATGAAGATTGTCTTTGGCAGCTTGCATGACATGCTCTTTCACCTGCGGATAATTTTCCGATCGTCAATCACACCCATACGGCAAGCCGCCGAAGCTCAATAAGATCACGTCTACATGTAACACCACCGGAATACCTTCGAGTTTATCCATGTTTGAAGCTCTGTCAGCTCTAAAAACTGGTTGTGGTTCACGTCGGCGTTGGAAAACATCCATTGCAGGAGCTCTTCCGTCGAATTCCCGTGTGACGAATTCGACGGTCCCATGAGGATCTCTTTGTGAAAATCTTCATTGAGATCTCCATCGCGCTCGAGGGGGACTCCGTTCAAATGTGTGGGCCGGGAGTCGGAGATGGTTTTCCCGAAGCCTGTCGAAGTAATGACAATCATTCATTCCAGTCTTCTGAACCGAGAGCGATCCGCCGCTGTTCTCGTGCTGCGCTTGAATGTCGATTAAATCACGCTCTGAGAGCTGCGTGACTTCACGCTGCCTTCAGAGAACGATCTCGGGTCCACTGCACCTCATCCGCAACATATGTGGCAGCTCTACTCACCCAAAGGAATAGTTTGCGCGAGAATCGGGAGAACCAGAAGTCGTAGCTGCATGTCATCAAACTTCCGATTGCATGAGAATCCTTAGGTTCCTAAGGATTCCCATGAAACTCTCACAGCTGATCGGAGACGAGTTCGCTAGAAGAACGGCGGAGGGGACTCCAGGGCGAGGGCTTTGTTGGCGCCCGGCGCCAAATTCAAATCCGATGCTCTGGAGAAAAGCTTTTCGACACGAAAGAATTGGTCCGAAACATATTGAGAAACTCTCTTTCGGAGGCTGACTGTAAGAGCTGCGTCGTTCTAACCTTATTTCGTGGAAAGCAGCGCCGAATGAAACTGGAGCTCGAAGTTATGTAGGTCTCCTCCGCTTCCCCTCCCTCCTCCCCCGCAGGTTTCGGGATTCGTCCATCTAGCTTGAATGAGGACTTTATCAGTCCTCCCTGATTATCTTCTCGGATATTCCATCCTCATCTACATATCGTGCAAGCCTCTGTGTACTGGAGTACCCCTTCGCATTTTTTGCTCTGCCCCCCCGAGTGGGATCTTTCGAGAGCTTTTTCCCATCGATAGCTGCCGCGAGCTTGTATCGGCTGGGACCCTCGCGGAGAGGACCGCTAAACTCAAGATTTTGGGAGGGTCTTCGTTCCCGAGGTTCCTCAGGTTATCGGAGCACAACATTCGGCCTGATGAGAAAACCGCCAAGTTCACTCTATTAGGCTTCCTGGGACCGCGAGCACCCGGCTGCGCTCTGGCTCGAGGGTGATGATAACTGATCTCGGATGTCTTTCAGGGTTGATCGTTTCCAGTCAGAATATGGCCTACGCAATCAGCAAATTCATCGGCGGAGTATTATCCGACAGGCTGTCCGCACGTCGACTTTTCGCTATCGGGCTTGTCGGAACTGGTTTAGCGACGCTCCTCTTCGGAACCGCGGACTCTCTGGCTCTGTTCTGTGGATTCTGGTTCCTCAACGGGTTTGCACAGGGCTGCGGATGGCCTAGCTGCGCTAAAATCATCCGCCAGGCAAGTGGTCCCAGGACCCTTCCACAAACGACTGACTCATTCTTCACATCCATGCCTTTGTCTAGGAGCATAGTCCATGGAGACTTTGCATCTCCGAAATCAGGAATTTATTGAACTTGAATCTCCAGTGGTATCCACCGTCTCAGTTCGGAACCTGGTGGAGTGTACTCTCAGCGTCGTCGAATGTTTCGGGTGGACTTGCGCCTTTCCTGGCCACATTCATCATACTCAACTACGGCTGGAGATCCTCGTTATTTTTCGCGGGCTCGCTGTCGATCGCAATGGGTCTCGTCAGTTTCTTCACGCTCTACAACTCTCCAACAGACCTGGGCTATCCGAGTTTCCTCGAAAATGCGAAGAAGAATGGTACGTTGAGTGGAATATATCTCGTTATGTGTCCTTGAGCAGTCCCTGCTGGGTCAGTGACTCAATGCGAGATTTTTCTCTGACTACAGACGGCGAAAAGCCGGAAAAGACTGACGCGAAAAAAGATGGGGGCTTCAGCGATCTCCTCCCGAGCCCCTTCCTGTGGCTGATATCGGCAGCTTACTGTGTGATCATGGCCACGAAAACTTCGGCCGTCGATTGGGGTCAAGTTTACCTGAGGGAAGAGCTGGGCCACTCGGCTTATGTTGGTGAGTATTCCGGACATAATTCAAGGCGGAGCTCTCGATAATCCGTTATCGATCATTAAGGAAGGAGCAAGAGAGAGTCGGTGACTGCAATGATTGTTTCCAAGAGAATATTTCCCTGCGCTCCTCAGGCAGTACGCTGACATCCTGCGTAGAATCCGGCGGCTTTTTCGGAGGGATCGCTGCGGGTTTGGTCACCGATTGGGCGGTTAAGCGCCACGACCGACGCTTGCGGCACAATCCCAGAGTACCGGCAGCTATATTCTTCTTCTTCTGCACAGCCGTTTGCTTGCACATCCTCGTATTCGTAGTGGATCAGAATACGTCGCAGGTGAGTTGTTTGACCAGTTCATACCAATTCGTTGGACCAATCTCATTGTCACGTTACCCAAGAGCCTGCTGCTCGTTGGTACATATGTACAAGGGGATTTTCCGAAGATCCATCGCCGGAATTTCGAAATACCAAAGGAGCCCTCAAATCGCGAAGAATTCCTCCAAAATTCCTTGTGAAAGGAATGGGGTCGTTCATGTCCCCTCGATTAACTTTCCGAAACTCGTTCTTCTTGCAGTTCCTTATAGCGGTCATCGGTTTCACTCTCGGCGCGGCTGTGTACGGAGACATAGCGATCTTCGGCATTGTTTCCTGTGAATCGGCTCCCGTACACTTATCGGGTTCCGCTCACGCCATCACTTCTTTCGCTGCGAACGGTGCGCATCGTAAAGCTCTGAATTCTCTGAAAATAACTGTTTCATAGCTTCTGCATCCGTGTCGGTGTGGAATAGTCTTGAAGAAGAACATGTTCTATCCACAGTTGGCGCAACCCTGTCGGGACTCCCATTCAGCATTCTAGCGGCGCAATTCAGCTGGAAATCTGTTTTCCTGCTCTTGGAAGTGATATGCGGCCTAGTCTGCGTTTTGATGATCATCTGTGTGCGGATCGACTCTCGGATCGCGAGACATCTGCATAAAGACTGATGCAAGTCGATTCTGTTCGCAAGAGACGTGATAATTTGTGATGAGAAGAATATCTAGGTAATTATAATTTGCGACCTCTCACCATGGGACCAGTTTTCTTCATGAGGATGGAATGAGACAACTGTCAAGCTTTTCGATCTGAAGCTCCTAAGGGATTTGGAGCTGAGAGCCCGAGGCATTAATTGAGCGCGATGACGTGCGACAAAATGCCCAAAGACTCTCGTGAATATTCGAGCGTTACTCGCCTCGTACTGTTCCCGAGAGCCTCCCAAACGAACAAAGAGTAAATGCCGACGGATTTTGCTGCGGATTGAGACCGAGGAACTGTTTATGGGGATCGATCGGGATTTCCCGATACAGTTTTACACAAGTTTCTGTTGAAATAAAGCTGTTGATATTTCTGAGTGCAAAGACATACCTATTGTTTATCTCCCGTTTGTGTGTTTAATGAATCAAGAGTTGGAAGGATCATGGAGTCCAACGAATTTCAGAGAAGATGTACTCTCTAAGTCAATGATCAAGCCGGGAGCATTTGATGGCTCTCGCAGCACGAGCAAAGAGTATCGTTGATGTTTTGATTTCGAACGCTTGAGCAACGAAAACGCCAATGCACGCTCCGCCGCTGCCAGGTCTACATCCAACCTGCCTTCGGACGTGAAATCTCAATGTTACGTGCTGTGCGCCGAGATCCGAGATCGAAGATGATATTCCTCGAGCTATTCTAGGAGCTGAGCCAATTGTCGGAAAATTCTTCTGGAAATCATATTTTATTCGTTCTCGTATTCGGTAATAGGCTGGAGAATAATTTTCGAGACATTCAGAAGGAGCTATGACTGATCCCCAGGCCTTTTGACGTCTGGATTGGCAGGCCTCGATTTGCGATTATTAATCGAAATATACATGCGATTGATCACGATTAAAAACCGCGATTTCGAGCGGTTAATCGCGGTTTTTAACCGCGGTTAGGAATCGCTGCAATGCCTAGTTACGAAGCACTACTACTTTCAGTGTTCAGAAATCGAAACCTTCAAGACATCGAACATTATGCGTGGTGAAAGAACAATAAAAATTGATGAAAAAAACACCATCGAGGAGCCGGTCTTCCCACCCAATTCCCTCACTCGGCAGTCACGCGACCCATGCGTGAATGCGAGTCTGCATCGAACACAGAGAAAACTGGTTCCCACGGCGCATTCTCCTCATCTAATCTCGGATCGGAGCGTATGTTGTATCTAAACGTTTCGGAACTCCTCTTCCGAGTCTTCTCGGGGTCGCTAACCAGTAGTGGAGAAGTCATCGAGACGAGGGTGGGAGCCGCGCGTCCGGCCAATTAGAGTTGTTTGAGATTCGCGGAGCTTGAACAACTTCCGCACCACAGATTTGTGGCCGGTCTCAGAATTGTGCGGGGCGGCTGGATCCGATTCTACGCTCGATTGGGCTAGTTCGTCAGACAAACTCGACGAGAGGCCAGTTTTGGCGATTTCGAAACACATCCGACAAATCAGCAGGGGCTAGATTCTTTGCAGAAGAATGAATTTCAGCAGGGAAAGTCGTCAAGATCACCGTGAAGCTCTTGGTGAGAAGCATGAAAGGAGCACAGCCCAGAACGAAATCCGTTCCCTGTGTCGTCCAGCTCGTGAAGCACAAAACCTGGACCCTTGGGAAGTCTCGCGACCACAGCTTGCGCTGCGGCTGCTGGCAGAATCAACTCGGAACTATCAGACGATCAGATGATTAGTAATTTGACCAGGTATATACTTTGGATTATGGGCGATCTGGTCACTCATCTGAAGGTAGCTGGCGGAAAAAATCGAGGTGAATGGCGAAGAGTTATCGGGAGGATAAGGAAGAAATATCGAAGAATTATATGTATAATACTAATCATATTCATCGTATATGGGATATATGGAGTAGAATGGGCGGCAGGAAAATACGCAAAGGAAGTCTCTCCGAGGAAATTCAAGCATCCGTACTCATTCCGAGAGGCGTATATCCCAATCATATCCCTCGCGAGCTGCCGATCGATGGCCAGACCCGCTAAGAAAACCTCAAGAGGAGCCGAATTGTCCGATTTTCGGAAATATCGAACGACCGACAAGCTGTGCGACGGTATCCGACGAGTAGGTAGTCTGGTTCTGAGTCATTCTTGCCCTCTCGACGCCTTCCTGACTCTCGCCTCCACCGTGTTTCTGGAGCGACCTCCTAATGTACAGGGAAGTTTTGATCCGGCAACTCAGAAACCACTGCTGCTCTCGTCGCCCGGACCTGTTCGTAGCGCCACGGGGCTGGAAGAGCGATCCACGAAGAGCGATCGATCCTGGGATTGGCGATTGATTGTGGATTCGACGCTGAACTCTGTCGCAACAACCGGCCATGCAGAAAAATGTTTCAAACTGCTTGCTCACGTGAGCGTTCTCCGATGCGTACCTCGCTTGAGAGACTGAACTCTGGGTTCTACTCATTTTCCAAAGCTAGCCCGAGTACCGGAGCGCGAACAGATCTCAGAGCTCTCCTCGAGGCGATTCCTGAACTCAGTTCCACTCACAAAAATGGATTAGGTTGCCGAATCTACTCTGTGAGTCTATCAATCCGGTGCCATTAGAAATATTGAACTCCGAAAATCCGAAGAACGATCCTCATGAATTTATAAAAAATCCAATTCTCTGACTCGGTTCCAGAACGAAGAAGATTTCAAGCTCTTTTCCCTTCTGCAGGCCGAGAGTTCGAGGAGAACATCTTCAGCCAGTCGCCGGATCTCCAGCTGCTTCAAAACTCGCTCAGATGGGACGGGGAGATTGGATCGTCTGCCCCAAAAACACCGTGAGTTCAAGTTGCGCCGAATTTTCAGAGGCATCCCTTATTGATCTTGTCCTTTCCTCGAGCTTCTCGTGGACAGACTAGCCGTCCAGGTCGCGTTCAATTACCTCGATGTGCGCATGTGCGTATATGTGTTTTCTCGGCGGTGGAGACACGCGTTTGGGATGAATGATGATAGCACCCTCTTGATGTTCCCATGAAGCAGGCACCTATACAACTCGAGCGAAAAGAAGCGCAACTATGGGGAACTATGCGCAACGTTGCAGTGATCTGGATAGAAAACCCGATGACGAAAATTCAGAAAACCCTGATGCCCAATCCCGAGGACCCCCCGCAATCTTAGTGCGCAAACCGGTAAGTTGACTGATCACTCATCCGCTGAAACGGCATTATCCGGGGCTCACAAAGAGTTATGATTCGTGAATGGCTTCAGGTATCGCTGTGTAGGTCTTCCCAGCATGCCTCGAGCCAGCAGCGACGCTGGAGAGTTTCGGAAAGGACCCTCAATGAGCGAGGCAACCGAATCTGATTAACATTGAGTGGATTTTCCTGCAGGCTACCGAGAAGATCCACCCGCTACAGAGGCCTGCCATCGCTGGAAGAATGTCCCGCGGACATCTCAGACTTCCGGAAGTCCCGAACCGACATGCCGCGTATGATACGCCTGCCGCGGCTCTGAGGGAATACGCCGACAGGAGGTCTTTGAGCGCCCCGATTTTCCTGTCGGTGAAGAAGACCGACGGATACCTGAGCACTATCGAATTCAACGGGAAAAAGTATAGAAGCTATCCCCGATATTTCGCCACAGCTGGGCAGGCACATGACCATGCTGCCAAGACGGCTCTCGGGGAGCTTGGTGAGTGTTTCTCGGCCGTAGATGTCGGTTCAATGGGTTGAGCGAATGAATGCATCGCTGATTCGTTTTTCTCCCTCAAATTTCCCAGTGGACTTGGCACCTGTCACAGGAGAACCATCGGCACGAAATATTCTACAAATGAAGACCCCAGAAGAGATAGACTACGTCGTCTCGAAGTTGGTGCAGATGCTCGATTCGAAAAAGCATGGCGTCCATGTCAGATCTGTCGCGCGCCTTTTCGTTACTGCGTTCGGAGAGCAGCTCCCGCAAGACTGGGAGGGGAAAGTCGCAGGAGACCCGCGGCTGGAAGTTATCGAGAAGCCCGAGACCTCAACCCGTGTACTCCACAAAGTAGACGCCGGCACTTGGCTTCCACCGATCATCCCAGCGCTTTCACTCCCCTTTGGAGAAGTCGCGATTGTCGTCACTTCCGTCATCGACGTCAGAGACTTCTTTGGCGTAGTCCAAGGGACAGAGTACTCCGAGTTGATGTCGGCTATGGAAACTCATTATTCGAGGCCGGGGGCTCCGACGCACCAGGAACTTTCCGACGAAGAGCCGGTCGTCGGACGCCTTTACGCCACGTTCAAAAATCAGTGGCAGCGTGTGAAGTGCTTGTCCAAATCGAGCGAATCAGGATCTGCCAAGTTCCTCTTCGTCGACCGCGGGACCGTCGAGGAAATCTCGCGCGAAGAGCTTCGAAGTCTCGTCTCGAACTTTTACTCATATCCATTCTTTTCGCTGAAGTTCCGTCTCGAGGAATTCGCCGACATCGATGAAGCAGACGCCAAGGACCCGATAATCATCGCCCAGATGAATCGATTCATCTCGAACGAGCGTATCGGCATAGTGCCGAGAGCAGGCTCCCGTGTCACGTCGGCGTTCATTCCCGTGACAAGCTTCCGCAAACTCGGTGATGAGGGAAATATACCAGACAACGAGGTAGGTCGGTCGGTCGGTCGGTGGATCTCTAGTCTCCCACGAGCTGCTAATCTTCCATTGCTCAGGATACGGAACGTTCCGAGGCCTCGACCTGAGCAAGAGCTCAAGAATAAGTATGGGCGCCATTGAATTCCCAGGTCAAGAGCCAGATCTACCGTTTACTCGCGACTCCGGTCGTCGGCTGTACGGTTCGAGAGAGCGAAGCGTATTTGACGAACATTTCCGCGGACGGTACACTGTATCTACAAATCGAAGGTTTCGGCCTCAGAGAACTCAGACGTCTCGGTGTCGAGCCGGAAGGCCATAGGAACGTCTCGAAGGTATGTAGTCAATACGGTGCAATTCTCTACCACGAGATGACGCCAAGTTGGCGAGGGCCTGCCCCCATGACCGAAAATATCGCTCCGTAGGTTGTGATCGGGGATGTGTATTGCGCGAAGCTGCACCAGAATTGGTGCAGATGCGTCGTCACGCGGATCGCTCCCCACCGAAGCGTCGGCATCGAGTTCATCGATCACGGGGTGACAGCAACCGTCCCGATCCATCGCATCTTCTACCTTAAGCTCAAGGAACGTCTTTCATCCCTGCCCCCTCAGGTCAGTTTGCAGTGAGCCTCGCATTACCTCAGTGAAATATCGAATATTATTCATGGCAACGTTCTTGGCGAAATACGATGTTCTGATTGAATGTGTACATTTGAATAGGTCGTGAAATCCCATCTACAAGGTGTCTTGCCGACCAAAGCCTGGAGCAGAGATGAGCTCGCGAAGATCAGAGAATATTGTCCTCGGAATCGAAAAGTGAAATTTAGAGCTTCGGAGAAAATTCAGTGTGGGAGCAAATTTTGCGATCCAAATATCTGGCATGTCGATGTGTCGGTGCAAATGACGCCGAGCAGCGATTTTATATCACTCAATGCAGAGTTGTCCACCATGCTGAACGCA